TTAATGAAAATAGTTCAGGAATCGTGTTTACCCCACCCCTCATCAAATAGCCCCATATGTTCTTGCACTATAACTATAATTGTAAACCAGACCATTGTTCTTTTTTGACAAGACTTCTCAAAGGAATAGGGATTCTTAAACCTATTATGAAAGACTTGGATAAACTTCAGATTTTTTAAATCATTTTCTTACATACTCTTTCAAGATTCTAGTTTAGAGTAACTGTGAGCATTTCTATAAATGCCACAAATACATACATGTCTTTTATCATTTTTCCATCCACCAGAGTAAACTTTCCTGTATCCTCCTCCCTCAGGAACACTGTATGTGCCAAATCCACAGCGATGATCATCCTTCCAATCTCCATCATAAATAGCACCAGACTTCTTCCATGTCATAGTTCCTTTTCCTTTTGAAATACAAAACAGTGTTTTTAATGTAGATATGGAGCAGAGGGGGAAGATCTTGCTGTCTTTGCCAAACACGTCCCTTTTCAAAATGAAGTTGAAAATTCTTTTTTCCTCTTTTTTTAATTCAAAACGTTTGTTGATATAGTAATCAACTAGTCATACATATTTGCACGTAGACTTTGCGTCTTTCCTTCTAAAAGTGTAAAGTAACTCACATGTTTTTTTTTTTTTGGCTTATTTGTTGGAATCGACAGAAATTACTAATTACTCTGGTTTTAAGACCCTTTTTCACTAAGATACTTATGAGTTCTATTAGGGTCATGCATTTCTGTACTCTTGCTAGACTAGCTGTGACTAACTGCGAACGTTGTTTATCTTAATTTGTATTTCAAACTCGTAATAAACTGTAAAGTGTTGCAATTAACTGCAATACAAATGTGGTTAGGGATGTTTGGGACTTACTGGGCTGAACATACGAAAACTTAAATGCAAGGATGTTATAAAACACCATAATAATTTGAGCTAATATGCTTTTGCCATCAGCCAATCAATGTGTGTAATGTTAAAGAGGTAACTATCAAGCTACCGAATACGACTACTTAAGACTGCTCGAGCAAATTTGTAGGAGACTTCCATGGCCACTTACCATTCTTTTGGTTTCTGTCCCAATCACCAGTGTACCGATCGCCGTTCACGGAATACACTGTATGATGAACGCCTTTCTTCTGTGCCTTGTAATCCCATTCCTTCCACAACGGTTCATTTTTCTTAGGTTGTTTAGTGATCGGCATTATGTTGCTGTTTTCACTGTTCGAAGCTACAAATTAGATAATTATTTACTTGTAACTAAGGGCAGGCCAGGCTACCAACATACAAATACCCATAACCCTTTTCGGTAACTGTAAACAAGATGGCGGCGCGCTTCAGCGAAATTTGAACATCTGTTTTGTCGCGAAATTTCTAGCTATGGAAGACTTACGTGAGAAAAATTTGGCTGATAAAGAAGAGGAGGGTTGCTATGCAATTGTTAGTAACATTCCGAAAGAATTTCGCTCTTCTGATTTGCGAGCAATGTTTTCTAACTTCATCAACGACGAATCGAAGGGTTTCAAGTGTTTTCATTTCCGTCATCGGCCTGAGTTCAGACATGGGGCGGGCTCTAATGGTGAAGATAAAGAAATCAAGACGCCCTCGACCACGTGCTGCGTTATATTTATCTTAAAGGAGAAGCTTCAAGACCTAATTAATTGTTATCATGGCAAGAACTGGGTTGACCGAAATGGAAAATATTTCCCTTCTAAGGCATTTATATCAAAAATCAGAGTTAAAGAAGGAGAAGGTTGGTGTTAATGTAACCCTTAATTTCATTACATTGAGGGATTACTTGATGTAATCATGCCAGCCTTGCCTTTCATGCAGGGCTAACCTTTACATTGGATCTATAGCTAGATATTTTGGCTTATCATTAGGGATGTCACAAAGTCTCAGACCCCAGACCCCTGAAAAACTCAGAGCCGTGGATGTCTTGAAAAAATCAGACCTCCTTATTACAACTTATTGAAATTTGCTGTCTTCAACAATTTCAATCATGAAATGGACACACTATACACCGAATGCAAATATAGCATCCATTTTTGAATTGCCATTGTTCTGGACTCACTAGCCTCGTCTTCACGTGGAAACACAAAAGGATTATTACATCACATGAGAGGCTAGTGAGTCCAGAACAATGGCAACTCAAATTGGACGCCATATTTGCACTCGGTGTATAACACAGTCATTGTTTGCATCTTAAAAGTTAGAGGAAGCTTCAGTCTTTTCCAGTTCAAAGAAATCAGGAAATCACAAAAATTTGAAGGTTTTTGTCTGCCAGATGAAATACAGTAGTTGCTTAACTTCTCAGAGAATAAGATACATTGAAAGAGATGTGCTTTGCATGATACTTGTCACAGCACAGTGACCAAGTACTCATGTTTGAAATGTTAACATTTAAACAATGTCAAATATTTAGCTATGAAATTGTCACCCTACAAAGACTGAATCACCAACTCCAAATAAATTTGTATATTCAATTAAGGTCCTCTCCCCACTTGAACCTTTCTGGCATCTTATTAATAAAATTATTTTAGTTCTTAACTCATGCAGAACACTTTGAATTTGTTCTCTCACTTCAGCATTTCCCTTCTTTTTCTTAGGTTCTGCAGAAGACCTTTATAGAACAAAACAAGACAAAAAACAGAATCCTTCTCCAAGGACAAACTTAGAGTTTTCACAACATGACCTCAGGGAAATGATAGAGCTTCATCCTCCTCCTCTGATGCCCAATGGCAATGTTGGAACACCCTTGTCTGTATTTAAGGAGTTGATAAGAACTTGCAAACTGCCTCCTCATGTAATAAAAAAACTAGATCTTAATTTTTCTATGGGAAAGTCCAAAAAGAAGTACAGCAATGTTCCACTGAATTACACAAGCCTGGAAAAAGGAAGGGTTCTTTTGAGTTCAGGACCAAACGATAAAGACCACCATTTGGGAAGGGATGCAAAGAAAAGTGATTCACTCAAAGACAGCTCTTTGTCAACTCCTGATAGTTCAAAAATGCAAAGTTCTGAACGGGATAATGTGGAAAATGTTTCTGAGAGGAAAGATATTTATGTGGTTGATGTCAGTGGTGGTGATGATGATGATGATGAGAGGGATGTCGAGGAATGGGAGAGACATGAATCATTGCACAATGATGTCACTAGTCAAGAACGCACTAAAGAGAGATTATTTGAAGAGGATATTGAACTGAAGTGGGAGAAAGGTGGAAGTGGGCTTGTCTTTTATACTGATGCAGCCTTCTGGAAACAACAAGATGAAGCAGACTTTGATGAGGAAACTGCAGATGATTGGGATGTAGATATGGAAATTTATGAAAATCCAGGTATGACTGTTAATACAATGATGCAAACTTTACTTTCAAAAACTGATACCACTTAAAATACAGTCCACGCTCTCCTTGCAACCACTCTTGTAAGCAACCAGCTCTGGCTACAACCACCCACATTTCAATGTCACTTAAACTCTCTAATAGAAAGCTCTTGTGAGTGACAGTTCCTGTAAGCAACCACCACCACCTCAAAGGGCCTGGTCTACGTATGTCAACACTTTAATAAAAATACAATACACTGCACTACTACATGTAATGTGTTGATAAAGATCTAAAAGCTCTCGTAAGCGACCACCCTCTATTTTTTATAATAACTTTGGTCGCTTATGAGAGCCCATTCTCATAGGGGAGTTACTGAAACTAATACAGAAATAAAAGATTCCTACTTTTCCTAATGTTTTACTGGTCAGTATACCATTTCTCTTTCAAAAGATATGAGGTGAGTCAAGGAGAGGTTTGCCAGCTGACTGGCATTGTTAGCACCAGACCTCTCACTAGCTCACTTTACAGAAGGAGTGAGACTCTCTTGCAGGTAAGAAATGCTTGTGTCACAGTGCTACTAACAAGAAAAGAATAATCTCCATAAAATTTAGCCAACCAAACTTTTTCAAGCTGTAGGGGCCACTCTAAAGCTTATAAAAAGTAAATTATTCTTTTGCTTGCAGGCGGAGGCGACAAAGACTCCAGAGATCTTCTCCAGATGCGAGTAGAAAAGCAATGGAGGAAAGGAAATGATATTGACTTAAATAAAATAGGAGGGTTTGAGAAACATACAAAAGGATTTGGAAGCCAAATATTGAGAAAGCAAGGCTGGAGAGAAGGAGGAAGCCTTGGTTCATCCCAGAAAGGTATAACAGAACCTGTTTTTGCTGAAGGACAATTACCAAAGTGTAAGCGAGGCTTGGGTTACTATGGTGAGAAGTTACAGCGACATGCGAAACGACCAAAAGTTAAAAGAATTATATCAACTGTTTACGATGAACTGGATAGCAATGAAGAGAATCTTTTTGAATCATGGGGACCTGATAAACTAAAAAATCGAGTGACAAATGAATGAGTGGCAAAAATAGTAGGTGCACACTGTAAACGGAAATCAGCAACAACAACAACAAAATTTCTTTATCTTAACAATGTAGCATTCTAACAATCCCCACCTACAAAATAGTGAAGCTAATTTAGGTGGGAGGTAAATAGACATTAAAATACATTCTTCAATACCAAGTTTGACCAAACAAAGGAAATGACCAAGAGAGCATGCATATACACCAACAATGAAAAATAGTAGATGAGCCAATCAGGTACTATATTGTAATTAACCTCTCATTAACCTCCCTTTTCAAATAATGTTGCAATAAGTAAGGTACCATTTTGTTTACACCAGGCAACATTGAATGGAAAGAGAAGCAAACAAAAGTCTTCCTTAGCACTCAAGCCATCTACTTGTGATGAAATAAAGTCTTTCCGTTCTTCACTTCATCTTTTGGTAGACTCTTTTAACAGTTAGGAGCAATGGAAGAAGAAGAAAGTATTTTTGACCCAAATAGTGATGCTTTTCTGGTAATAACCAGAGCAGCTGCTGTTTGGGAATTTGCTTATTAAGCTAGGTTACTGAGTTGTTGTTGTTGTTTTTTTAATTACAGATGTAGTTGAATTTTTAGTACATTTGAAATGAATGTCAGGAGAGTTAGTCACTCTCTAAAGTCTCAGAATGCAAAAGCCATAATTTCAGGTATTCTTTAGAATGGTAGTGACAAAAGTTACTTGATTTCTAGAATATACTTCTCCTTTTAATACAGATGTAGGTTTGGAAGGAAAACTTCAGTACAAATTTGAGAATAAAATTTTGATTTTTTATTTTGAAAAATTCAACACTTGTCTTAAGTGACTTGAGAGGGGGGGAATTTTCAACTTACAGGGGGCAATGTACTTTATACAGTTATGAAGAACTAAGCTTCCAATTAAGGTTAAAGTTATCAAATTATTGTGTCATTCTCAACACTAGTTCTTTGTTGCTTGTGATTTACCTTGGTGCATGGATTTAGAGGATCGTTATGTACATCAAACATTAATACTAATTTGAGTTCACAGAGGCTAAAGAAATCCTATTACTATAGTGTGCAGTACCTCATCCTCAACTGTATAAAACTTCAACGTTTAGCAAGATCGTATTCACATTTTTACACCTATTGTATACATTGTAAATAAGATGGTAAATATATAGTTCTATCAGAGGCCTGAAAGGAATAAAACTTAAAAGGCTTTGGATGGTCAATAGGAAGCATGATTTTAAACAATGTAATGTAAAATAAATTGAACATTCCTGCATGCTTGTAGGACTGAAACTTTTATAGTAAATACTCACTACTCACTTGTTTCTTTACTCACTTCTCTTGTTTTTCAACAAAATTAGCTTGGTTAATTTGACTAGTGTCAAAAACTCAATCCTGAAGTGAGCTAGACACCAAGAGAGATAATTAAGCAACACAGTCTCCACAATAATAAACATTACTTAAATGTTTCTGTGGTTTACTGTTGTTTGAGTTTCACAGTAACATTTTTGCATACATGAAACTTTTAGAAAACATGTGGAAATAACATTTTAACTGCACACTCACTACACACTTTTGTTTTGTCTTAGAATATTACAAGGTCAGTTAATTTGACCTCAGTCAAAACTCAATCCTAAAATCTTAGTGATCTTAGTTGTTAAGCAGAATATAATATAATTATTTGTAATTGAACTGAGTTAAGTGCAATTTGGTCTGAAGTCATTCACACAATTACAAAATCTGACAACCCCGTAGCAAAAATCAATTTACAGAAACCTTTTCAGTCCACTCATGATCAGAGACTAATTAATTATTGCTTAATTCCCCACAAACCACTTGGAAAACCCTCAGCCTGCTTCAAATCTCGTGAATACCTTTGACTCAATCTATCAAAACTATCAGCAATTTCACTTGCTAACTGAGCTGCCTGATGCGTTTGTTCTCCATCATTACATGTCCTTAAGTCATTTCCTTCAGCATTGTTCCATATCATGAATGTCTCCAGGTCAGAGGCCAACTTGAACAGAGCTTCACGGTTAGCTACAACCCTCTTGACTCTTTCCTCTTGTCTTTTCTGGAAGTGAAGGAAATAAATTTTAAGTTTTGATTTTCAAGATTTAGACATCTCTTAATTCCTACACAATGTTTTGAGTCATTCTTTGCATATAGCAGAGCTGACTTTTATCCCAACAGGGAGGTGCTAGTATGCTTTCTTAACATTTCTTTAACCCTTTAACCACCAGAATTGATTGACATGTAACTTTTCCCTGTAATATCCATACATCATCCAGAAAACGTAATGGGAATATTCAAGTGTGGAGGTTGTTATCTCGATTTAACACCAATTTCATAATTTTTCTCAATACATAATTTATTAAGAAATGTACTGTAGCAGCTAGGGGGAAGAATTAATGAACACATCTTGGGAGTAAAAGGGTTAAGTGCATTGGCTTACATTCCGTCTTTCCATGGCCCTTCTCTGCTTTTCATCTAGTTCTTGAGCAGTGAGTTTACTTCTGTCCTTCCTGTGTGTCTTCTGTAAAACTTTGGGCACTGGAGATAGAGGCTGCCTTTCTTCATCAAATCCGACAGTAAATGCAATGCTCTTGTTGGTGTCATCAACAGATGAAGTTTTCAAACATGCTTGTTTTTCCTTCTGATCTTTGGATTTGACCAGTGGTGGATGATCTTTTGATAAGTTATTGTTTTTGTCATCTACAGCAAGATCTTTTGTCATTTGAGATGTCAAAGTTCTAAAATCTTTTACAACATGACAGGCTGTAGCAAGAAGTTCAGAAGATGTCATTTTGGGTGTGTCATGACTGGGGCCTCTCCCAGCATCTACCAGAGACTTCTGCTGTAGGAGAAGTTCAACATTGTGTGCAAGCTTTCGAGCAGCTTCTTGTCGATCATGGATTCTTTTAAGTCTCTGTTCCACTTGTTGCTGTAAAGATGAATATAAAATTAGGTTTGCAGTAAATGGTATAAACCAGAAGGGTAAAAGTCAGTCATGGAGAGTGATAGTCATTGTAATAGATATCCTAAAAAGAACTGTGGTCATGCAGTGGTGTTAAGACAATGTGGGTACAGGTAGCCAGCTCCTGGACATACTGTTTAACAATTGGTTCATGCTTTAGCGTGCACTATCGAGTTATGGAGCACGCGGGAAGTTTGGAGAACACGAAAGAAGTGTAAGAGTTGCCCGAGGTGATAGCCGAGGGCAAGTCTAGCTTCTTGAGTGCTCTCCAAACTTCCCACGTGCTCCATAACTCGATAGTGCACAGCTGAAAGCATGAACCAATTGTTTTAGAACATAGCCAGTGGAATTGTGCATCAAATCCGACGTGAAAAATGAACAACAGTATCAGTTGAAGCGAATCGTGATGGCGCTGATGCCGAGTCTCCTTTTCCTTTGTTTTTTTCTTTTTCTGCCTCATTTAAGAACTCTAGCCCAAGGGAAAAGGTCCAAACATTGTCTTCGTTTTCGGACTAGTAGGCCGAGTTTCTGTTTGTATCCATTATTGTCGTGATATATATTATTTTTCCCCGTGCTAGCAATGGCCACTTGCGCGAAAAAAAAAAATTCTGGCGAAGTCGGATTTGCTGACGCTATCAGCGAGCACTATCCGGATTTTGAGCACGCTTTATGTATAATGAATTTGATTGCATGACTTTGCCAGCTTTGTTCTAAATTAATTTGGTAAAGTACCACTCATAGCCAGGCCCTTTTCAAATTTTTTAACCTTGAGAGTTGGTGGTTATTCAAAGTGAGCACTTATGAAATTTTCATGTCTATTTTCAGCATGTAGTACCTAGTAACTAAACATAAAGATGTACCAATAATAGACAGTGAATTGTGATTCAAAGAAATAGTCAGTACTCCTGTTCTGCATTTCAGGTTTTTTTGGGGGGGAGGGGTGGGGGAGTGGGATCTTATCAGAGGTGGGCCCTTTATCAAATAAATACAATAGATGATGACTTCTGTTTAGGTTTTGTAATGTAATTACTGTCAGTCAGTCAGTCAGATCTTCACACTACATGAGCAACAATTATTGACAAAAAACAGCTCAGAGAAGTGCATGGACTGTAATTGGTTAGATCTCATTTATTATACTGCATCTCAAACTAAAGTAATTTACTTTAATCAACTGAGTTGATAAGGTAAAACTTTGGCCACCATAAAGAGTTTAACAGCTGGCATTTCAAGTGTTAGCCCTTCGTCAGAGCCGGTGCATCTCAAACTACTTGATTAATTGATTTAAAGAACATTTGACAGATTCAAATGTGTCCGTATTGAAATATTCCACATACCCAAATTAAGAAATTAAATATTTTTAACAGAACAAGTAAAAACTGATGTTTGTTAAAAGACATGCATATCCACAAGCCTTAAGTCTGTAATGAATCCATTGAATCAAACCCATATCTTAACATAGCAATGTTATTTAATAGTCAACTTACTCTCTTTCGTCTTTCAGCCATTCTTTGTTTCTCTGTGAGCCTTTCAAGGCTTATGTTTTCTCTTTCTGTGGTTTGGTCACAAAAACGCTTTGGTGGTGGCCTACAAACTGGTTTCCCTGTGGGAATGTGGAAGGCAACAGCATTGGTAACCCTGCTTGTTGTTAATATTTTTCTACAGCCATTTGAAGTTTCACCAGAGTCTCCTCTCCATTTTGTGTTATCCTCAGGTGATTGCTCGTTATTTTGAATAGTATCGTGTGTTATTGTCTCTTCCTTCTTGTTGTTCCCATTCTGAAATTAAAATGTTTATATATTAAAGTACAGAATATAAATTTTGGGTTAAATATTTATGCTAAATTTTTAGCCATAGATGCTTTAATAAGCACCCTAAAGGCCTTGTTAATTTTCAGGTTCTCCAGATGGAAGGCTTTTTAGAGAGGGGAGCTTACTTTATAATAACCCTTTTATCGACAGAATGATTAAAATTTAAATTCTCCTGTAATCTCCATACATTATCAAGTCAATGAGTAATGAGAATACTCAAACTTATCAGGTAAAACTTGTTATCTTGATCAAACACCAAATTCTCATAACTTATTTGACAGGAAATATTGAGCAGCTACAGGAGAGAATCTATAAAAAGACCTTAGCCCAAACATTATGTAAACTACAGGGTCTACCAGTAATTGTGATAAGTCATTACAGTCTAGTTATTTACATATTTAAAGGCTAATATGTGCTGGTAGTTCGTGGTTTGTTTGTTTGTTTGTTTTTTTTTTAGGGCATTACTTTTGTTGGAAACAAACAATGAACTCTTTTATAGACTGCCCAAACTTATAGCTATGAAGCTTCTATTTTAGAATTTCAGAGAAGAGGAGGAAGAATTTATAGGAGGGGAGCTTATCAAACACCAGATGTTCTAGAAAAGGGACTCCTTTAGGGGAAAGAGTGTGAGAGAGAGAAAGAGAGAGGGGAGGGGCCTGATAGAGAGGAAGGCTTATCATGTAATAGTCATTCAATATATTTTGATTCTTTGCAGTGGGGGTGGGAGCAGGGAGTCATGAATTCTTACCTTGGGTATGGAGATGGTGTGAAAGCTTTTAATTCTTGACCCTATTATTTTAGTAGTACAAGATATCAAACTCTGTTTTAGGAAGGAATTAGTTTCCAATTAATTTTCTTCCGAGGGTGGGACACTGGTATACCTTATTAGAATCTAACAGGGACTTTATGGGAAGTGAGACGGGTGTACAAGGGCACAGTATGTATATGCTGTTCAGCAGTGCAGGATGACCTAAGTCATTCAAGGAATGTGGTGATCCATTTGAAACGTTATTATGACCAAACACCTTTTCTTTATTTAACTGGAATGCTAATCTATTACAAGCTCACCATCTCCCTACTTTCTGGTAGAAAAAAGAAATGTTCGAATTTTCAAGGTATTTGTTTGGCCAAATTCATTCACTAGTTATTCACTAGTCATTTCTAAAAATAGTTCCGTATTTTTGCAGTGTTTGGTGAATAAACGGATCGAAGTATGCAGAAAATCAAATTCCTTCTTTAGATAGATCTGATTAAAAGTACTACTTGGAAAGACTTTTCTTACTGCAGACAAGCCAAAAGAGAGAGCTATGTCCCACGCAATTTTCACGGAAAAAATTTGCAAACTTGCGTTTGGTGCGAGGAAAGTATGCAAGTCAAGTCTGGAAACATGCCACAACTTTGCACGATTAAATTTATGATACTTCGGATTCCATAAACTTTTTGGAGAAAAACATCCCTCTATTTTCAAAATGGGATGTTTCACTTCCAATCTGTCTGGAGCTCTTTTTTTTTTTTCCAGAAAATGCCTAAAAATTCGAAATTCGAAGGTTGAGATGAAGTAGTAGAAAGACTAACCTCGAAATGAGTCTCCATCGATCTTCGTTGATTCCTAATGTTAACTTTTTAACTTAACGTTGCTAATTCAAGACGCTGAAAATGGTACAGAACCCCTCTGGTTTAAGTTTTGTAGCTCTTTGCATGCAAATGAAAACGTTGAAAACTATTTGGCAAAATTTACGTTGTCATAATTGTGTCCAAAACAAATCGACTCGTTGTGATGTTTACATGAAATCTGATTGGCTGGTCAGAACGCTATGGCTTATTCCCGAGATGATCCTGGAAACGATGTTATCACGTTAATGGAGACGAGGCTTGTACGAGAGACAATGGAATTAAAAGTCAAGATGGCGGTCGAATGATGGTGGAAAAGCAGCAAGATGTTTCCGATATCACGGTAGCTGACGTTGATATTTTCAGGGATACAGCGTTAAGATATCTAGGTAAGTTCATAGTTTATTTTGAGCGGTTCACATACTCATACTCTGATAATTTGGACACAGTATAGACACAGCTGGACACACACTTCTGGAGTTGGGTTTACATGAGAAGTCGCTTGATCTTATCGGGATGACTGCAGACAGTGTCCAGAAATCTTTGCAGGTTCTAACACAGCGAGATCTGTACATTACAGTGATCTATTTTTGGGAGTCTCTAATCTAATTTAAAACTTTGCCTTCATGTAACGTGGTGGTTAGCATGCTTTGCATGCATGATTTCTTCAACAAAATACCAATATTCCAACAAACTGTTTAGAACCCTTTGCAAAATCTCATTTTCCCTTGGAAGGATCACTTATCCTCATAATGTGTTGTAAGTCAAAAGTGTGGGTACCAATGTGTATAAGTGTGGTCATTGGACACAAACAAACTTTTGCAAACCCTGTGCAAAATCTTATTTTCTGTGAGATGGGTAACTTATCCCTGTAACGTTTTGAAGGTCAGAAGACTTGGTGTGTTTTTAAGTATAGTAATACGAGATACAGAAAAGGACAAGGACAACTGCAGTTTACATGTTTGATAGGGTCCTGAAGGGTCAGTTGATAGATTATGTAGAAGGTAATCTCATTAGACCAAAACTCTTTTCTTTTTCCCTTTGTCCTAAGAAAATTTTCAAGGATTTGATGTTTTACTCTCTCCATGAAAAAAGAGATCTTTTGGTCAGTGTTGTAGACTAATTTCAGATCTATACAAATGAAGTCAAAATTGAGAATAGGCAATCTTTACTAGTGCTACATTTCTTGAACCTGACAACTCTGGTTTCAAAATGCAAGGGGCAGTCTTTATTGGATGTGAACTTGCTACATGTATATCCTTATTCAGGATAAGCTCCTAGGTAGTGGTGAAGTCTTATGAGTTGTGACCCATAACCTTTTTCTATTTCTTGTGAAAGTTACTTCAGATTAATATTGGCAAGAAATAAAACCTGTTCCTTGTTTAGACATCTGCTTTTGTATATTGTCTTTGGAGAGATCTTTTTTGCCTTATTGTGAGTTATAAACTGTGTATTCAGTTTGACTGCTTTGCCTACTTGAAGTAGCTTGTGCTTCAGAAATGAGTAGCAAGCAAACACACCTGCAGCCAATGCTTTTAGGGATATGGTGTATCAGTGTGTGTGAATTAAACTGATTACGGTTTAAGCAAGGTACCAGTTTGAAACATAGGACGCCTGGATTCTTTAAAAGCTCTCTGTTTAGAGAAGCAATATAGGTAAAGTGATTTTTTTTTTTGCATGTGAGAACTTAAGATTTCCACAACTTCTACACTTGAAAAGAAAAGTAAACCTTGGGATTCATTATACTCCTAGACTTTGTGGATCAACCCTTTTCTACTGGATTCTTACATGGTTGCATAACTTTCTTTTATTTCTGTTTAAAGCAGAGCTGTAACTTCTTATTTTAGTGAGATCAAAGGATATTAATAGGATTATGATGGTTGACTTTTGCTGGTGAATACAGTTATCTTTGTGTAGCAGAGCGTTTTAAGGGAGTTTTCATGCTTTGTCTCTTTCCTCTCGTCCAGTCATGGATGACAACTTTTTCTACTTAGAAGCAGTGAAGGATGGAATCTCCATGTAAATAAATTGCATGCAAGTTAACCAACTGTATAAGTGTACTAGTTCTGATTCCAGAGTGAAACTTGTGGAAAACAAAGTAAAACAACTTCACATACCTTCATGTTAAAAAATGTAAGCCATTTTGGTTCCAACTTTTGACCTAGAAGAAGTTGTTTCAATTGGACACTAAGAAAACAGCTAACTCTGGCAGCTTCCCAGAGCTAAAATTTTGTTATCATTCCTGTGTTATCAAGTAAGACTGGTTTACTGTGTTGTTCACTGGTTTTCTGTGTCTGTGATCATGAACCACAGCAGGAGCTCTCCTCCTGTCAAAACAGTTTGTCTATCTTGGGTTTCAAGGGCTTGTACTTAAATACAAGTCCAGTGTTTGGAACAACCTTTCAGCAGGTGTTCATTTTTATCTGTAGACTGTTCCCTTTCATTAACATGCAAACAGAATGCTAAGTATGAGCTTTTACCAAAAGACAGAAAAATGTGGTTCATTGAACTATTAATAATTAATAGTGTCCTTTGATTAAAAATTTATTGTTTGTAAAACAAGGTTTTTCACCTTTTAAATTCTACTGTTTTCTGAAACTGACAGCTATCACTCAATCTGTTTCATTTTGGATATCTACCCTGACTGTTGTTGTTGTTTTTTTTTTTTTTTTTTTTTACCTGTAGCCCAGAACTAAGCTTTGAATCTTGTGAATTTTGTTCTCAGTGAATGTTTACTTTTAATTAATGGCATTTGGTTTATCTAATGGCTCAATGTGACAGGACTTTTCTTTAAATACCTGCAAAATCAGTGAACCAGTAACTTGTTCCTTGTCAACCAATGGGTGAGCTAACTAGAGCATGAAATTACACAAGGGTTAATTCTTGTGTATTGAGTGAATTAGGTAGATTTTATTTTGATAAGTGACAAGTTCACCTTCCATTACCATAATGGTAGCTTTTGACCTCATTAGGCTGCAAAAATAGGATTGGCCTTATGAAAATACCAGAGGCAGCCACTTGAGATGGTGGTTATTAGAAGTCAAATGCATTTTGTTAGTCAATGGTCACCTCTTGAAGATCATAGAAGAAGATTGAATTGATTTTCCACTGTATTTGTACTCCATCCACACTAAAGCTAAAATAGCTTTTGTTAAATGTGGTTAGAAATTGTTTTCTTGATAGAAGATTCTAAGACGATGTTTGTCAGCTTTCAAATTTCAATGAAAATGCAATTTAATGATTACCTGAACCTTATGTAAAATTTAGTTTTTCTGTTTTCTGTTGCTGAATTTTACTCTGTTAAACCTGGCTCAACTAAACAAGTTTTTCTGTTGTCAATGTAACATTACTCTACATTGTGTTGACTTAAATAAAGTCAGTTTTGAAAGGAAAATGGGTGAATTCAGCTTGCTAGCCCTAAAATTTTATATGCGAAACATGTTTGACTTGTATTAAAAGATATGCTAGGCTTGTTTTCACTTTTGAGTGTCTGAGGTGTGGTTTAAATTTAATTTTTGTTTTTAAAGATTTTTCAGAGCAGGTTTATTTTGAAATTGAAATAAAAGAAAAGTGTCTTTTTTTCATAATTTCCTCATTGTAAGTTGAATTTAGCTTAAAACTTTATTTTCACAATCACTGTTTATTTGTATCATTCTGTAAATTATGTGTGTTCCTTGAAAATTTGGTGAAAAAAAAGTTGTCACAGGGTTCCAGAGATATTACAGCCATCCTCTGCAGACATTAATTTTTGTTAGCCATACATCTCTAAGCCTATCATTCTTCTTGCACTCTCCTTCCCCTTCCCACCTTGTGTTTGCAACCCAGGCTATCCCTTCCTAAGGTGATGTTATTAGCTCTAAGACTAATAATTTTATTGAAAGCTCCAAGTTTAACCAGGTGTAAAATTTTCTTTTAATATTATTCAGTAGGAATATATCAATCTTAACCCTTTACACCCTAACATCAGTGTCCATATTCTCCATAATGTTCTTTATACATTTCCTAAGGTACTGACAAGGAGAAGTTGTGAAACAATCAAGAGCTTCTTTAGTTGGTGATCATTTCCTTTATTCTTGTCAGCTTAACAGTTGATTCAGGGGTGATATTGTCAGGAAAATTAGATTGAAGGGTAAACTATATACCCCTAAGAGTGACTGGCATCTAATTTCTCCTTACAGCATAACCCTCTAATCAAATGTTAAGGTCATGAGAATAAAGGAAATGATCACCAATTTAAGACACCTATTGTCAATATCATAGGAAATGGAAAGAGAACAGTGTGGAAAATATAAATACATACCTACATACATACATACCTACATACCTACCTAGCTACATACATATATACCTACATACCTACCTACCTCCCTACCTACCTACATACATACATACATACCTACATACCTACATACCTACATACATACCTACCTACATACATACATATATACATACATACATACATACATACTTACTTTATTTGGTCTCACAGGTTAAAAAACTGGCAGCCATCGGCTGATGTGGACTTGCATTACTAATTTACAATGTTTACTTCTTAAAGAAGACTTAATATACTATCTGTGAAAAAGAGAAAAAAGTTAAAAAAGTATCAATAATTATAATAAAAATGGTCTGATTTGTTGGTGATCAAAGAGCTCTCCTTTTCATGCTAATGTTAGGGTGAAAATGATTAAGACTACTGACCAGCAAGACTACTTATAAACCAAATATGACCTTAACCTTTAATAATCATTGCTTAAAACTTAAAGACATTTTGATTAAAATATGTACTTAATAACCGTCAGGATATGCCAATGAATTTGGTGAGGCATTCCGTACCCACATCCCTCGGTTAATGTACCTCGGTAGCTATGGAGTTGCCTCCACCTACTGCCTGGCAGACTCCATTGACAAAGGGAGGCGATGCTACCAGGAAAGCACCCATCTGTCCAGCTACCTCAAGAAACGCAAAGCTGTTGAAACCATGGTAGAGGCAGCCATATGGCAGGGGTTGGCTTCAGTGATTATCCCAGGGTTTACAATCAACAGAATTTGTGCAGCATCTAGGTTCACACTTAACAGATATGCGAGAGGAGTGCCTCCTAGTACCCAAATGTGGATGACCACTATTGTGGGACTCACTGCAATACCCTTTATTATCAAACCTATAGACAGGTGGGTCACATCAGTAGATAACTAAATTTAATTAAAGATTTACATGTAAGTAGCCATTTTGTTTGACCTCGGAAAATTATGTCCAGTCTGCCATAACCAGTCTGCATCAATCTTGCACATCTTGAGTGAGCCCTTTAACTCCCAAGGTCTGATTGTTAATTCTCCGTTCTAGCTGCTACACATTTCCTTTTAAACCAGTCATGAGAATTTAGTGTTAGATCAAGATAGAAACTTTTGCCTGATATGTTTGAATATTCTCATTACCTGTTTGCTGGACAATGTATGGATATTACAAGCAGAAGTTACATGTTAATCTCTGGGAGTGGAATGGTTAACCATCCTTCTCTCTCTGACTTATGACTTGTTTCTGACCTTGTTTGTCTACCTCAGAAAAAGTATAATTTTAAAATGACAATTTTCAACAACTAAAATTGTCTTTTATTTTTCACTTGGTGCTTACCCGTAAAACCATAATACTCAAGGCATTGGTGTGAAACATTCCAATTTTCTTACTATAGCCTTCTTTCTGTCTTTCAGACTGGTGGATAGTGTAATGGAAGGATTGATTCATATTTCACGACAACTTGGTATCTCTCATCAACTGGATCACAGCCACAAGAAATAGAACCCTGGAAATCCCATATTAAAACAAAATTTCATGGACAGATTACTTTTATTAGGTTATTTTCTCTGGTTTTGTCATAGTGACTGCCACTCCCACTCTGTATTCCATAAGTCAATAATGAACATTTAACTTGGTATTTTGAATGCCATAACTTTTATGCCATGACGCTGATGCACATAAAGATTGTTACATATTTTTATGTGTGAAAAATTATGCATTATTTATGTTAACTAAAGGCAATTTGCTGTTACCAGACTCTTCAATAAACTTGGTGTCAGTTTCTTTTTGAAGCTATCACTGGTGACTTATCTGCACAAAATGATGTGAATTATCGACCCTCCACCTTAACATCAGTGTACAGGTTTTTTATACTGTTCTATATACATTTCTTATGATGCTGACAGCAGGGTACCTGTACTTCTTGAAAGTCCTAGAAAGTCCTTGAATTTAATTTTTTTGTTTTCAAGGACTTGAAAACCCTTGAATTTAGACTCGGGTCCTTGAAAATTTCTGAAAAGTCCTTGAAAATAAGTGCACATGAATCAAGGTTGAAGTTCTCTTTTGTTTTTGATGTTGAAAGTGTAAGTTTCTAGCAAAAATAGCGAAAATGAGTTTTCCTTTCAAATCCTGCATCCAATTATGATGTTTGACACATGATTTATTTATAATTTGGATATATCAACAAAGTTGAAGTGGTAAATTGGCCACTGTAACGATTACAAAAGCTGACGTTTCGAGCGTTAGCCCTTTGTCAGAGTGAAGGGCTTTTTTTTTTACCTGATTGGTGCATTGAAAAAACCTTGGTTACCTTGCACATGATCACTCTGATGTTCATGCTTGAAGTGAAGTCATGCTCATTGGACTTTTCAGCTGCTCCTATTTAATGTAAAAGGTCCTTGAAAATGACCCAAATAGTCCTTGAAAGTCCTTGAAATGGGTTCCTGAAAAAGTGCAGGAGCTCAGTCACAGGAAGAATTTTTGAAAAATATCATGAGCTCTTTTTCGTAAGGGATCAATCCCTTAATTCTTGTGACCTCAATGATTGATTCAGGGGTGATATTGTAGGGAAAAATTTGATGTCCATCAGTCTTAGGGATCAAAGGGTTGACAGGTACTTTGCTTCTTAAGCTCTGTCTTTTTGCAAGTCATTACAGCTTAACATAGAGGGCAAAATTACTGAATGCTGATTGGTCAATGAAGAGGGTATTTTTTTCTTAATTTTGCTTGTGTAGAGGGCAAAATTACTTGCTCATGATTTTGAATGCTTTAACTTTGTTTGAAAAAGTACTAACTTTATATTTTCAAAGTTGAAAGTTTGTTAGCAGGCCTGGTTTTCAATATCCTGCTATGTTTGTGCAAAAATAAAATTTCATTCAGCTCGTTAGCATGTTTGTGGTGATTGACTCTTTGTCAACATTAAATGGCTTCCTGTGACTGATTACTCAAGGGTGCATTCAGAAATTCAGTACTTTTTCCCTCTATTTCATTAACAAGCAATCGCAATGGGTCCTCGTAAAATTAAGGATTAATATTACTCGCATTTTCAGAAGTTGCTGAAATTGCCCTTGTCATGCAATTTCAGCAACTTCTGAAAACACATGTGATATTAATCTATAATTTTATTCAGCCCCATGCAATTACCTACACAAATTTATAATGTTGCAGATAGTTTTTAATACTAGGTATCTAGGATGTCAGGTAAAGTTTAAATGTTTGGAATGGAGGTAAGGAAGAGGATTACTTGGAGGGACACAGTTGTTCCACTGACTAGGGCCCAGTCAAAGTATTTGTGACGCAGTAAATAGGTCAGCAGAGTGCCTTTTTGTTGAACTCGAAGAGTTGAGAGAAGATATAACATTCTCTGAAAAGAGCTGTCATTCCACAATTTGTATTTTTTTATTTTTAAATCTACAATTCACCAGATAATGTATGACGGGTGGTTATGTAGTATGAGGAACAATTTCGACCCTAACCCATAGCCTTTGGCCATGTTACAGACATAAAAATGGCAGTGATGATGAAGAGAGCTGTCTATTTCCCTTTTATTATTTTTCATTGCTTCCAACCATGTGCCTTTTGTACACAGCCAACACTGTACAGAGGTACTTATTTCTGGTAGAATAGATTGTTTGTCTGGTAGAATAGATTGTTTTGGTAATTTTTGTTGTGACAAAAAAATTTTTTTTTAAGGATTCCATAAGAGTTCTGACGCTATATAAATTCTAAAATTAACACAAAAAAGTCATCGCTTTTTGTATCCTTTCTGTACCTTTAACATGTACATTATAAAATATCACTATTTTACAATCAAGTATGGTAATAAAGACTGTGATAGTTGAATGCTGATCTATTTCACAAAATATTAAGTATTATATTATCAAAAAACCAAGTTTAAGTATGTGTATGATAAAAAGCAATCTTATCAGTAATAAAATAGTAATACGTAAACTTAATTAAAAAGTACTTCAAATAATGCAATGCCATTTGCAGGTGTTTAGAACATTCTTAGTCTTTGTGTTATTTGTATAACCTTAAACAAAACAAAAGACAAACAGTGATAGCACTGGGCCTCCTGAAAATTAAATCATCTGTGTGGAAAAAATTTGATCTGCTAATCTAGGCTACTCTATCCTGTAGTATTTCATTTAACAAAACATACCATAACCCTTGTACAATTCTTTAACCCCAACATTAGATGCTTACAGCAGTCAAAAATGGCTGGCCAAGTCAGTCTATTAATAAATACAATCAGTATATACCACACAAGTGAATAGTGCTTTTTATGTGCACTGATTGGCTCCTTCAGAAGTGAATAGCAAGTATTATTCACCCCTGAGTGGCTAATGAGAGAAAATTGCACATCAAGAGTTTAATTTCAAACCATTTTTCAAAATATGTATTTAAAATAAATAAACTAACTTTTTGGTAAGTGTGTGATATATATACTACCACAATTATTCACCTCAGTGTCAGTGAAAGTGGTGTATATTCACCTCCACTTCAGTGAAAAATTGTTAATCATTCTCTCACTCAAAATTGAAATAATTTATTAAGAGAGATTTTCTAGAAAGAGCCAAAATGAGGCTGTTGAATGAACAGGTTTAGATCCAAAGATGGAGTTAATAGGGTGCATAATGAGACAAAATCTAGTAACTCACTGCAAACTTGTAATATGTTACAATATTGCACAGGCAGTAAAAGGAAAGAGAGAAAAGAGAAGACCAAAATCTAACTGGTAGAAAGAAATGAATATTCTGTAGTGAGTTGTGGGTAGTGGGAGCATGAGATAGATAACTGATGAAAAGAAATAAAATCTCTGTTCAGGTCAATAAATCAGTAAATTGTCTTGACAGTTCTTGACTGATGAAAGTTTCAACAGGAGCTCCTCTTAAAAAAGGTCTACTTTAACCAAATCAACCTGTCTTAATATATTAGTCACTTTTGAGTAACGCTGAGCCTCTTAAGTTATATTCAGGTCTCAATTCTTGTTGTATTTGTTGTAGTGATAACAACAAGACTTGAAAATAAGGCTCTCTGGCACCTCTATCAGATGGCAAAGGAGGTTATATTTAACTGCAAGGTAATTGTGGAACTACCCCTGTCTTTGTAAATTTCTGCCTCACAACAAACAAGAGTGTGGTCATGTTTCCAGCAAACAGGATGAAAAATACTACACTGAGGCCAAGAACCTGAAAATGAATTAATAATGATTAACATTTGCAAAAGCAAAATGGTCATGGAATACTATCAACTAAGTTATGCTTAACTTTTGAGTTTTTTATTTTTTGTACTTCATGAGCCTCGGAGTTTTTTTCTGACATGACATGAGATGATAAAAAACAGACACCGTCATGTATTTTGCACTTAATAGTCCTGATTACTTTAAATTGTAGGAGGAAGGGTGCTTTACACTGGAAGCAGTCCTATGTTGCGATATTTGTGCAACATAAAATTGAATTCATATTTGTAGCTTTCTTACAAAGACAAACACTTGAAAAAGGTGCAAAGGTGGTTTAGTATGAGTAGATAAGCATGCATGAATCATGAAAATGCTCCTTTGAACTTGAAAAATTAGATAGTGCATGAACAGAAATGTATTTTATACATTTTTTCCCCAACATTAGTGATTTATCCTTCCATCAAACTGGCACAGGAACTTTACCTGCCACTCGGTGCAGTCAGGGTGGAAATGCAATCGGTAGAGAGTGTAAGCATTAAACAACTGAAATAACTGTGGAAAGACAACCATATGGTGTGATTCAAAAGTTATAGCATACACCCCAAATAAGCATGCTTCTGCCAGTACAAATTATATAATAAGGTAAATTCCAAACAGTTTGACTGTTCTTACTTATGATTTATCAGAGGTATAGATGATGTCACCATCAACAGTTTTTTGCTACTTTATTGTATAAAACAAATAGTTCCATTGTTGCTGATAAGGTCCATACAATGATGGATCACAGTAGAAATTAAAATATGGTAATTAGACATTTGTGACACACTCTGACTAGTTCTTAGCAGATTTTGATGTCATCTATGATTTATTTCTGAAAACAGATGCAAGGCAACATGGTAACTATTTGTAACTGTATACAAGCAAGATGAATCTTCTGGGAATAGAATAACACACATTTGCTAGTTTGCATTAAATTACAAATCATTTGCCCTGTAAATTATGTTGAAATATCATAATGTTTTGGATCAGCCCATCAAATGCTTGTTATCACACTCATTTACTCTAATCACTTCCATTCCATATAAAGTTAAAGGTAAACTGAAATAAATCACAAAATGCTAGCTGATTCAATGCACTAAAACATAACAGAATATTAAAGACGGAAACAACATAAAATGAATCTACATACAACATTTGTGGCACTGGTTCTCATGGAATATCCAAACATTTGCATCCACTTACTCAACAAATTGTTGACTAATCAAGTTACATATGAGACAACAAAGACTATAATGTCATGGTAACATACATAGCCAACAAAGACTATGATGTCATGGTAACATACTCACATAGCCAACAAAGACTATGATGTCATGGTAACATACTCACATAGCCAACAAAGACTAAGATGCCATGGTAACATACTCACATAGCCAACAATAAGAAAGGGAATGATGAACCCTAGTCCTCTCCACATCCAAGAATGGAAACCCTCTGCAAAAATAATTCACTTCTTAGTACATAATTTGTTTCACGAAAGTTGCCAATGACCTGTATACACCACACATACCTACTTTGTAACAACTTCTGCCAAATAAGTTTGAATATCGTCATTACCTTTTTCGTGGATAATGATGGATATGATAGGGAGAGGTTCTATGTTCATCACTTCTGGTAGTTAAAAGTTCAATGCGATAGACAGCTGAAACTATAAGAAAGATGGAGCTTTAAAATTTACACAAACCTCTGGTGACATCCATGTCTTTGCTGACACCCAGTGATCGCAATCGATACAGAGCTCTTGACTGATATCTAAATTGTAGAAGTTGAACAAAACCTAGAAACACAATGATGGAATGATGATCATGCTGAGTATTTCATTGAATGACAAAGGAGAAGTAAGATCAGGGTAAAATTCTTGCAAAGAACCATCTGAAAGGAGAAATTAAGTATACAGCAATTCTGAAGTTCCCTAATTGTTCACAGATGTTACAAGGTGCTCTGCATTGTTCCTATTTAAAAGGAAAGTTTATGGGATAGCACAACTATTTTCAAAATGTTTTTAGGGAGGGAGACTGGGGGTATAACTTTGGGGTGACCCTAAAACCCGGAACGGCGGAAAGGCAGAATGGCAGAATGACGGAAAATGACCCCAAATCCTAAAATCTGGAACAGTGGAAAATGACCCCAAATTCTAAAACCCAGAACGGCGGAAAATGACCCCAAATCCTAAAATCTGGAACGGCGGAAAATGGCCCCAAATCCTAAAATCTGGAACGGCAGAAAATGACACCAAATCCCAAAACACAGAATGGCAGAAAATGACCCCAAATCCTAAAGCATAGAACGGATGACAGGGCATGTTGTGCAAATTTTGTACAAAGACAGTCAAGCACTCGGCTGATTCATTCCCCCGACAATAACACATGTGACCAAACTTAGACTAGCATGAGAGCAAGAGGGGTTTGCATGGGGTCCTGCGCATTGGAATTTCTCATGGCACGAGAAGACAAAAGAAGGTTAACAGAAAGAAGCCGTCAAGAAGAATTTGAAGAATTTCTTCATGATCAGGCATCCAAAAGACCACCATCCTACGACGAAATTGTTCCTCAACAAATTGCAAATTGTCAACTCTATGGCGCTTAAATTTCCCTTCCTGAAAGGGAAGTGTAATTCAGATGGATCTTTGGATTGTTATGGTTTACCATTATTGGCATGGAAACAGTTGCAGGACAAGCTTAAGGTCAATTTTACTCAAAAAAGAGAGGTCAATAAATTAGTTAATGGATGATTAAGTAATAATTCAAACCAAAGAAGTTCAGATATTGTATCGCTTGTCTTCTACTTAGTTTTCTCAAAGGTTAACTGAATTTACAAAGGCACAATGACTTAGAATGTGCAGTTAACTAAAGGTGAAAATTGTACAATGCCTCGATTGATTTATTGGGAATTGATTGTTAGGCAATGAATGAGAAACAAACTGAACATCTACAGTATGATATTACACATTATTACAAGCAAAGATAATTTTTTCTGGTATTGACTTAATATCTGTGGAAGTTACCCTCCTAAGGGGAAATTAGTGTGGGTACGCTTGATTTTTATATGGCTCTCTTCATCCCTTGACTTGCCTATAATTCCATCTTTAAGGCTTTAGGGTAATTTTCCACCGTTCCATCTTTTAGGAGTTGCCGCTAGCAAAGGACTGGAAAAAATGGGGTCAAATCCAAGGGAAATTGGGTTTTGTTCAAGAAGTCCGAGTAAGGGGGGGTTTCGAGTTCAGCAGGTTCAAGTTAGTGGGGTTCTACCGACAGAATCTATTCTCACCATGTAAATTAGACGAATTAGTGAAATAACCTCTTTTCTGTACAGAAAGTTTATTTCTTCTGCTGATATGTAAGCCACAAATTTCATAGTAGTATGGTGGTGTTTTGGACACCTGGTCGTGGAGAAATTCTTCAAATTCTTCTTGAGGGCTTCCTTCTGTTAACTTTCTTTTGTCTTCTCAGGCCATGAGAAATTCCCACGTGCATGACCCCATGCAAACCTCTCTTGCTCTCACGCTAGTCTAATTTTGGTCACGTGCATTATCGTCGTAGGAATGAATGGGCCAAGCACTTGACTGTCTTTGTACAAAATTTGTGCAACATGCTCTGTCATCCGGCTGTGTTTTAGGATTTGGGATCATTTTCCGCCGTTCCGTGTTTTAGGATTTGGGGTCATTTTCTGCCATTCCATGTTTTTGGATTTGGGGTCATTTTCTGCCATTCCGGGTTTTAGGATTTGGGGTCATTTTCCATCATTCCGCCTTTCCACCATTCCAGATTTTAGGGTCACCCCTTTGCTGCTGTAGCTATAAGTCTGTGTTGTTATTTATGAATGAACAAAATGATAATCCAATACTTACTAAGATATAGAGAAAAGTGGAAGAACTGTCCCCTAAAAATTTGGTACACCCTTCCATCTGGCCTAAATAAACATAAAATAAATCTCTTAAATGGTAAAGATCAGTGAACTTAAAATCTAAATGTCCAACTTTGTTGTTTTAGTGTAATAAACTACGTACTTAAAATGGGAAAAAGTGAAATAACTCACCATATAAGAAGAAATCCTGATAAAATGATGGACAGATAATGATGCACAACCCACCAGCCCTTTATCCTGTGTTAAGAAAAACCAAACATACTTTAAAGTTCATTCACATCTTCACCCTATTATAATCAGTATGAATATTCCTTATAATGTTGTCTGTACATTTTCTAAGGAGCCAACAAGGAGAATTTGTTCAACAATCAATAGCTTGTTTTGTTGATGATCCTTTCCTTAATTCTCGTGACCTTAATGTTTGATTCAGGGGTGATATTGTAAGGAGAAATTAGATGCTGGTCACTCTTAGGGGTAAAAGGGTAAATTTATTCCTTTGTTATTATTTTTCCAAATTATTTGAAACTCACAGTGTCAGTAATAAAACAAACAAGAAGGAAAAGTTTGTAGGAATTGAATATCTTCATAACAAAAAATTTACAAAGTATTCATGTAAAACTTTGTTTGATTCATACCGTGAGCCATTAGCGATGAGAATATGTTCTTGAAGGGTTAATGTACTGTAATACCACAATAACATTGCATGGAACAAGGCATCTGCTATCCTGCACTAATCACATTATGGTACAGTTCAAGCAAGCAAGGTTAATAAATAGTTTATTCTAAGGAACTTGGACCAAACTAATTTATTTTCAATTTGCAGGCTTTAGTGCAGCTTTTGATCATTTCCATGGTGATAGTGCATATGGCAAAATATGAACCAAATAAGAACCAACCAGAGTGCTTGGATTCCTTCAGAAATACCTTGCCATATCATAAAATTTGATATTTCTTAGATAACCTTCATTTGGTGAGACTTATACAAAATTTTCTCCAAGTTTTCAACAGATGCTATAAACATTCTGAAGTAGGAAATTGATATGAAATACTACCAGTGAACTTTTAGGTATAGAAAAGCTGCTAGTACTGGGATACACAAAAAAAATAGAGAAAGCCTTTCTTTTCTCTGAAGAGTATGGTAAGTTGTATACCTGTAATTAAAGATGTACAAGTTTAATATGGTAAACACCATGCTTATTACTGTCATCTTTAATTTAAACTTCTCATAATCATCTTTGTATGCCATCCTGAAGAAAAAAAAAAACTAAAATTATTTGCTATCATATACTCCAAAAATTAATGGTGATCACAAAAAGTCAAATTGTATTGAAAACTATCCTAATAACCCAAGGTTATGCAAATCATTAACAACTCACCGTGAATTATACAGTGAGACATTGATATTTCCCAAGCACAGCTTAAGGAATAATCTAAGGAGAAAAGAATGTCCAAGAATTTCCAAGAATGAAGCAATGAAATTCATTACTAAAGAAGGAGAATATATAGTACAGTCAATTTACAGTTAGGAGACCTGCTTACTGTTGGTTTAGTAAGATGGACATTTGATCAAAAGGTCCAGATTGAAGCCGTGATCAGGTTATTGTGAACTACAGTAGAACCTGTATGAAGCAGTCACCCACTGCAGGAATGGACAGGTGACCACAGATTAGGGGATATTATAAAAAATGATAAACAACACCACTTTCTTCCATAATTGACAACTCAAATACAGAATCTCGCTAAAAAAAAATTCTGTATTGTCTTGAAGCCAAACCCCTTCCCTCTCCCTTTCTTACAGTTAGGGGGGGATCTCCCTTTCTTACTGTTTGGGGGCTCTCCCTTTCTTACAGTTTGGGGGGGGCACTTATTTGAGGATGGGCACCTAGGAACTCAATCTACCTATAGGTTGGGGCTTATTCAAAGAAGGTGATTATAAGGGGTTGGGAGTGAAATGAAATAAGTATGCTAGAACTGTAACATTTTAAAAGTTTTTCAGCCAACAATGAAATATAATAAATTGCACCTCCTCCGTATTGATAAAACACCTGCTATAAATGATGGATCAAATAAAAAAAATATTACCCTGCTTGAGAAGGAAGACTTAATTCAAAATCTTTAATTTTTCTTTCAAAGTCTGAGATTTTTGTCTGAAGTTTTGCAAACTGAGCTTGTTGTTCACCAGTGAGGGATCCACTCTTAAACCTACATGCAAGCAAAAAAGGCAACAAAGTTCAAATACCTGGCTCATATGTTATCTAGTGGACAAAAATATTTACAAATTATATTGTGAAATAATTATTGAAACACACATTAAGGAAAAAGACTAATTTTGGTCTTAGTTAAGCTTAAATGAAACCTTGTGTCTGACAAAATTTAGAGTTGTTTTCAACATCAGAGTGAAGCACATTTCAGTGGAAGGAAAAGTGTAAGCCTCCTAAAAGAGGTACCAGTGAGCCAAAAAGGTACATCAAAGTTTAAGGATTGTACAGATTAACTAATATTACTAGGAAAAAAATGCTTAAATGTGACAAGGCTCCTTTAAAAAAAGGAAAGGCATACCGTTTCAGTGATTCCTGAAAATCCCTAAGTTTTCGTTTCTGTTGATTAACAGCCGAGACACAGGATTTCTGACTCGAATGAAACTCGTCCAGTTTTTGCTGATAGTCCTGGAACTTCGTTTGCTGAAGATCACCAAGAAAAAATCAGTTTTTGTTTAATCAGATATTTGAAAACAAGGTAATGTTCTTCCTGGCAAATTATTGAACATACCCAGTCATATTTTCACTTTCCACATAACAACAAATATGGAAAGATTTTCGTATAACTCTATACCAATAAAAAACAAAGCAGTAGTCCCAAAGGAAATCTGTTGTTTTGCCTCTGCTTTCCTTTCTCCAAAAATTGAATGCATAATGAAGTAATGAAAATTGCATAATGAATTGCATAATGAAATTGCATAATGCGTAATGAAGTAATGAAAATTGAATGCATAATGAAGTATGGGGTTATAAGGAAATCTTGCCACGAATATTTTTAGATCGAACAGGCTGTTAACTCCGTAGCTTTGCTTTATATTTATCTAAACCGAAATTAATTTCTGTTTTCTATGGAGGGTCATCTTTATTGTGAAGGAAGTTATTCTATAAAATAATATGGAAAGGGGCTGAAAAAAGATTTGGTTTCAAATGAAATGCCGGGGATTGATAACCAAAATGTGATCAATTATTTGCAATCCTCGGCCCCTTAAGCTTAAGATGATTAAAAGCCTTCTTCTCAAGAAATCATTCGACATTAAAACTATGGTAAATATGTGACAAGCAATGAGAGGCAAATTAAAATAATTAGTAAATATGTTCTGTCTGCATGCTGTGGAAACAAAAAAATCAATTATGCACGCGTACGAAGTTATTTCCTTGATCATTTAGTGCTCGAGTGGGCGTCGCTATCATGGCATCACGCTCATTACGATGTTAAATAAGATATATACAAAAAAATAACATGGATATAACCTTGAACGTCCGCGTTTCCTCTTCCAAGTGCTGCCATTCTTCTTCCCACTCTTGAAGACTTGAAATTTCAGCAATAGCCGCCATTTTGACAACACGCGATGCGAGTAATATACCTCGTCCCAGTCTTTTCTTTTTTACAAATTAGAAAAGTCAATAATCCAGATGAACTGGTGTCAAGACTTCAAGAAGTGCTAAAGACTTAACAGTTTCTGTTATCTTTGTAGGTTTCAAGCCAAACACGTAGAGTTCTTTAAAAAGTTTGGAATAAATCTTTTATATGCCTTGTATTTACTCTTTTGGAACGTCGACTGGACTCTGGACTTGGCTCTGGACTTAGGGGCTTTATCACGAGCTCCTGGACTAGGACTTTGACCTTTGGTCTTCAACACTTCTGTAGAGTTTTACTCCCGGAAAAAACCCTCGTCATTGCTGTCGTGCGCTCTTGTAATTGTTGTTGTTATTTTCTCTCATTTTTTTTTTTTTTCAGTTTTGTTTTGATATTTTAAGAGTTCTCTTTTTGTACCCTAATGAATTTTCAGATCAGAAATTTTTCAATTAAAGCTTCAACTGTTGGTTTTCATCATTTTCCAAGAAGGACTTAAATACATAAAAGAAACTTTGTTTGCAAATGTATTGTAGGCGCCTTGATTAACTAATTATCTTTGTTCGTGCTTTTCGGTTTCTGTTTAGTTTAGCCGTTTTCGCGTCCCTGTAGCTTTGTAAATTAGTTTTGTCCCCAGAAAGCCTCAATACCATAGTTACCATTCCAGAAAATCTTACACTTTTCGGCTCAGAGAAATCCGTCCTTAATAAGGGCTTAAATTTTGTTTCCGCTTCTAAAACAACCGACGAATTCAAAGAAATCTGTGCTCAGCAAGAGCTTAAATTTTGTTCTTATTTCTAAAACAACCGACGAATTCTCAGTTAAGCAGGACGTTGAAAAATTCTTTCGCCGAGTTCAATTAAAGCCTCTTCCCATGACAACGAGGATGATTCTAACACCTGGAACAAAGATACTTTTATAGATAAATAAACTGTGGGCCAGTTTGCATCTTTTGATTTTTTCATTAGAAAAATGTCGTCACGATATAAACAAACTTAATTTCAATCGTAGCACCAAATTTTCCAACCTTTCTTCGGAAGAGTGGTTGGCACTAAAAGGTCTTAATAAAACGCAAAGACATCGTTATAAAAGCGGCTGACATGGGCGGCACATTAGTTGTTAAGGGCCGACAATTTAACTTTTGAGGGGGGGTTGGGTGATTTCTGATCATCAAGAATTTTTTTTTACTAGTAATCTGCTGTGCAGGATATTTTTTCCGATTTTTTTGGTACATTTTCCACTGTTCCATCTTTTAGGAGTTGCCGCTAGCAAAGGACTGGAAAAAATGGGGTCAAATCCAAGGTATTTGGATTTCACAGCCTTCGACACAGTAGACCACTCGATCGATATTGTTATCTAGACTGCAAAATCGTTTTGGAGTTAAGGTTACTGTACTTGGATGGTTTGAATCCTTCCTAAAGTCTCGCAAGTAGTTCGTAAGGCGGGTCAATGACTGCAAGTCAACACTGCGCCCTTTGGAATGTGGCGTACCTCAGGGATCTGTTCAGGGCCCTCTTCTCTATCTCTTGTACACATCACCCATTGTTGACATCATTAAAGTTGCACAAGTTACGGTATCATTTCTACGCTCATGTTACCCAGCTGTATATATCTTTTAAAAATGTAGCTATGATCTCTCACTTGCCAAGCGTCGTGTTGAGTGCTTTGTAGATGATCTTGACTGCTGGATGGTGAATAATGGCCTTAAACTCAATCAGGAGAAAACTGAACTTGTCCTTATAACCTCACAATTTCGTTCTAAACCCGCCCTTGAGTTCATCCAAGTGGGTGATGAGAAGATTCATGCAACCCAAAATTTCTACCCGGAATCTGGGGGTTACTTTCGATCATTGTCTTAACCTAACGGAACATGTTACAGTAAAAAAATCTGTGTCTCCTCAGTGCCATTACCACTTAAGGAACATTGCCAAGATTAGGAAGTACTTTAGTGAAGACACTTCTGAAATTCTAGTACGTGCGTTCATTAGCTCTAAAACGGATAGTGAATTGCAATTCCTTGTTATATGAACTTCCCAAACACCTGCTAAATAAGCTAAGATTAATACAAAATACTGCTGCACGCATTGTTACGTTAACTAAGCGGTTTGACCATATTACTCCTATCATGTTTAAACTTCATTGGCTACCGTTGAACTATAGCATACATTTTAAAACCAATAACGTAGCTCCATTTTCTGCCTTTAAAATCACACACAACCCACAATTCCTCTATTGGCTCCGACGAAGGGCTAACGCTCGAAACGTCAGCTTTCGTAATCATTACGGTGGCCAATTTACCATTTCAACTTTGTGGATATATCCAAATTATACATTTTAAAATATTGCTTTTAGTGCACAAGTTTCTCGATGGCTTGAAACCAACTTATCTATCTGAACTTTTACACTATCGTAATAGTCCACGTTTACTTCGTTCTAGTTCTCAGAATCTTTTAGCTGTGCCTAGATTCAGGTTAAAGACGTATGGTGATAGAGCTTTTTCTATAGTTGCTCCAAGGCTATGGAATCAATTGCCTCTTGAACTCACGAGTATTTATCTCTGTTGACCAGTTCAAGACGCAGTTGAAGACATACTTATTTAAATTGACATATGATGTCTAGTATTTAGTAGTGTACAGTTTAGTTATTTCATCATAATAGCTATTGGCTTTTGTATTTTATAGTTTAACTATTGTTGTGTAGCGCTTTGAGCAATTAGTGGACGCAGCGCTCTATACGTGTCTTTATTGTTATGGTTATTATTAGTGCTTTCACTCAACTGTTTTTCATCTGGGACAACTATTACAAAGAAACTAATGGCTTAGCCATAGGTAACAAAATGGAACCCAGTTACGCCAATCCTTTCGTAGGTTTTATCAAACATCAATTTTCCAGTCAATGCAATGGCCCAAACCTGAACTCTTCGGTCGTTCAGTACATTGACGACTGTATGGGCGCTACTTCCTCTACCAGAGAGGAGTTAATTTGGATATATCAACAAAGTTGAAATGGTAAATTGGCACCGTAACGATTACAAAAGCTGAAGTTTCGAGGAGTTAACCAAGTTTATAACCGCGGTCTTTTGCTTTCTTATCTTACAGGTAGAATTTCTGTCACCTTTTTCTTATTTGTACCCTTGATAATGGCGTCATGAAGTCGCCGAAACGTCGGGATTTTATATCATTCATTTTTACATGTCTATGTATTACTAAATCTTTGTTAATACTTTTTCTTATTGTGGTCGTGAATTTGACACGAAAGCATATGTTCAGTTTCTACATTGATTGGAACTTATGGTGGATTTCGCGGTGAGCTTTTTTTCAATTATGTTGATCTGCTTGATAGAGAAGAGAGTGCATCGCTCTGGTATAAGTTAAATCTCGTTCAGAAATTCCTGAAAATTCCTACTTCTTATACTTTCGACTATTTTCAGGCTCGTTTTTATATCAGATTCTATGTCAAATTCACGATCAAGAAAAAACTCCTTAAATTTTCATTTGACACCCTCAACACCTCTTTCTTTTGGGTGACCTTAAGGGAAAACAACTTTTACTTTCCGTTCTCCGCACTGCATTTTTAATTAGAGAACTTGTTCTAGGTGTACAGTGGGTACGCCCTTTCTTCTCCGAACTTTCTCTTTATTCTGTTGTTATGCAACGTTCTTCGAATGCTATTTTCTCTCAGGATATTTTTTTAAGTATGATTCTTATTCTGTCAATAATTTCATTATAATTTTCATATTGTCAATCTTATTTTTGTTTCGCCCGATCTTGACCGTAAGAGAAAGAAATTGAAGGTAGAAAATGATTTTGTAACGCGTAAATATTTCGAAAGTACATACTTAGTATGTAGGATCTATTTCTCGTAACTTAACGTAATTCGCTAGCTAAGTGAGAATGATGACGATGCTTAAAGACTGACAGTATAGTAAGTGTCACCTTTATATACTGGTACCAGCATTCTCACTCGATTCTGAGCTAGTTCCCAAGGCGGTAACTGAGTTGTGCAGAATAGAAAGGAATAAAGAAAAATCGATTTTAAAATTGAGTGTTAGAAAAATACCTTTGACAAGCTGGTGGAGGACCCTGGCATATGAATGGTCGCGGTAG